TCAAACCCAGACAGAGTGGGTTTCTATTTCCAGAAGCAATGCTTTATGTATTAAAGAATATTGGACAATTTCTTGGTACTAGTCCTTATTGTTTCATCGTCAAGTGTCAAGATTGTAAAGTGTATTTTTCTGATTTAAATTAGGTTTGAAGACTATAGAGATAATTATCAACAAATGGGTTTGATATATTACTTATTACTTACTATTTGATATATTACTTATTACAAACATCAATAACCTTTTAGTTAAATTTTCTACTTTAAAAGATATCTTCGACTTTATTCAGTAGAGATAAGAATCCGAAAGTTAAGAAAGTGATTGTTTAAAAGAAGAACAAAACTATTTAAGCAATTTTAGTACACCTACATTAAAACACCCAACTTTCCAGTCCAATAAAAATAAGAATGAAGAATGAGGTAACCTATCACTATATGTGTATATGTATATTATATGTACATATGTATACATAAATACATACTCTAGATTTTTTTTTTAAAGATTTTATTTATTTATTTGACAGAGACAGAGATCACAAGTAGGCAGAGAGGCAGGCAGAGAGAGGAAGGAAAGCAGGCTCCCTGCTGAGCAGAGAGCCCGATGTGGGGCTCGATCCCAGGACCCTGGGATCATGACCTGAGCTGAAGGCAGAGGCTTTAACCCACTGAGCCACCCAGGCGCCCCATACTCTAGATTTTTGCTTCGATGCCGTGTAGTTGTGTATATGTAGTAATTATGTACACATATGATGGTCTATTTCAAGGTGAGACCGTAAAAGTTCACATTTACTTCTTTTATTCCCTTTTCTGTTCTCCTCATTGTAACTTTCTGTTCTTTTCAGTGGAAGGAAGAAATGTCACTAGAACAGAGAGTGAGTGGAGGAGGATGGTTGGGATAACCAAAACTCTTTGTTAGACTTTATCAAATACATAACCAGAAAAATGAATTTTAATACATTGGCGTGATTCCCAGTTGGAGGAGAAGACAATCTTATCTTCATATCATGCTTACTTCTTTGTTGGTTGTTTATTTACTATGACTATGATTAAGGTAAAAATGTTTCACTGAAAATGAATTTAACTATGCCTTAGAAAAATTTTGTAAGACTTGACTTAATTTAGGCGACAGAAATATAGCAAGTGTTTTTAGTTTTATGATATAGAAGTATAACAGCTAGATTTTAATGATATCATTCCCCTAAATAGTCCATGTATTCCTAATATCTTTACTCAGCAGCACAGAAAAGAAACAAGCACTCTCTTAAAATTCCATATCCTTATGTATTCATTCATTCAATAGCCTTTTAAGTTCCATATTCTACACATTTTCTTAGGGCCTGGAGGGACACAGGAGAAGAGAGGGAAACATAGTCCTACTATATGCATTCAATTAACATTTATATGTTTTCTATAATTAATAATAAATAAATAATAAATAAAAAACATTATATGTTTTCTAGCTCTTCTGAATATAAGTAGTTGAAGGAGATAAAATACTTAGGTGGTTTAAATGTCATCTTGTAAAACATCTTTCAATCCTAAACTAATTGCTTCCTTGTCTGTATTCTTGTGTTACTTCACATGCACCTACATCGTAACAAAGGCTACACTGCATTAGACTTTTGTGTTCGAATGTCTGTCTGCTCCCTGGTGTCTCCATGAGGGTTGGAACCCTATTTTGTTAGTCTTACCCCATAAAGATCATAGTACTTGCCTGAGTGAGTGACTGACTAGTCTTCAGGAGGATTGAATATGTCCCTTTTGCCTTCAGAAAGCTTTCATTTCAATGGCGATGGGAAAGGAGAAAGGGAAATACAATCATTAAGAAAAGTGACATTCTATGAGAGATGGGTTGTCCTTGGAGCACCTGTCTGGCTCAGTCAATAAAGTGTGGGCCTCTTGATCTCAGGGTAATGAATTCAAGCCCCATGATAAAAATAAAAACCTAATTGGGGGCACCTGGGTGGCTCAGTGGGTTAAGCCTCTGCCTTTGGCTCAGGTTGTGATCTCAGGGTCCTGGGATCAAGCCCCACATCAGGCTCTCTGCTAAGCAGGGAACTCCGCCGCCGCCCACCGCCCCCCCACCACTGCCTGCCTCTCTGCCTACTTGTGATCTCTGTCAAATAAATAAATAAAATCTTTAAAAATAAATAAATAAAACCTACTTTTAAAAAGGGGGACGGGACTGTTCTTCATGAAAATTTTCCATTAATGGATTCCCAGTAGAATAAGTTTAAAGAGAAGGAGAGGATTTCTTTAACATGCTAAGTGAGGAATGGTAGTTGGCCACTTCATTAAAGAAAAAAAAGATTATTTTCTGGGTATTTAAATAAAATCTTAAGGGAATCACGTTCTTATATGATAGCCACATAGTTTTATATAAACTAAACAGACCCAAGTATGAAATAATTATATCCACAGCTAGATAAGCATTTACTAAATCTTAGGCAAAAAACAACTTAACCCCCCCACCCCCCGCCATCTGAGTTTCCACATATTTGAATGTTTGATGAAAAACAGTCAAAGCATTGAACTGGAGGATCAGCAGGGAAACAAGAGGCAGTTGCCCTCTCCTGAAGAACTTTACTTCAATATTGGGTCCTGATTTGTCACATCCTCATTCCTTTCCCTGGTGCACGCAAATCAGTGTCCCTACACTTTGCCTCAGATGGGCAACATCTTCTGGTGGTGGTTGTTTAACAGGTAATTTACATTCTTGCACTAAATGATGTCCTCTCCTCTTTAAATTCATCCGCTCAGACATAAACCATATTGTCAAGTAGTGTCTGAGCTGCGTGCCTGCATATTTTGCATCATATATAGCATGATATGATATATATAAAAATACGTATCATGTATATCATATGTAATATATATAAATATACATATTTTATATATAAGCATATATATTTTAAAGATTTATTTATTTTAGAGAGGGAGAGAGCAAGCATGTGGGGTTGTATAGAGGGAGAGGAAATCTCCAGCAGATCACCTGCTGAGTATGAACCTCTGATGCGGGGCTCAATCCCATGACCCCAAGATCGTGACCTGAGCTGAAACCAAGAGTTGGATGCTTAACCAACTGAGCCACTCAGGTGCCCCAAAATGTAATGTATTTTTGACACACCCTAGTTTAGAATCTCTTTTTGAACGAGTCAGAAAGACAGTGAATGAGGGAGTAATCAGTAGAAACTGCATAAACAGAATTTCAGTTACCAGTAAAATACCTGTTTACTGAATGCCACAGCCTCGGAGGATAAATGTCATCGACTCAAAGAAACTTCATGGCTATTGATAAACAGCTCTTCTGGTGATCAAAAATGACATCATGGTTTCACAAAGTAAGAATTTTATTGAGGAAGAATTAGAGCCAACAACACAGAGCAACAAAACAGGAAGGCGAAGTTAATGCCTCCACTTTCCTTGGCATACCCATTTCACTATTTTTCCACCTTAACCCTCCGCATTACCCCCAAAAAGACTCTCTTGGGGAACACATGGAAATTATTCATTATTGTTGTCTGAGTGAAAATAACACGCAGTCCATAGAATGCCTTGACAACCTTTCACATAAATTGACCACTTCTAGATTTTCAAAAGAGGTTGAATAGATTTAAGGGAGTTTTCTGAATTGTCACATTAGTTGCAAACAGTACTTTCAACACAGAGTTAGACATTTATTGGAGAGAGGACCTAAAGAAGTCACTATATATTTTGAATACGATTTTGAGTCATCGTAGGAACAGCCTGAAGTCAGGCCCCAAAGTATTATCACTTTATATTGCCAGAAAGACATAACAAGATAACCTATCTCAAGAAAACTGGAGTCTACAGGGCCCAATTATTGGCTTATCTCCGAAGGCTATATCATTTACTTCTTTTAGTGGCTTTGACCTATAATTATCACCTTCTTTGTTAACGGTGCTTAAGGAGTCCAACTGCCTTGGCCATCTTAATGGTGGTGAGTTGAGCGGTGATGAGCGTTTGTTTACATTCCTGTACTGAAAAGAATCTTCTCACCACACTGCGGCACAGGCACAGTGACTGATAGAGGAGTACCACTGCCTGTTGTTTCTCCAAGATTAGGTAATGAGTGGTTGTGACCATGCTTCCAGCCTCACTCAGCTTGAAAGACAACCTCTTGTGTTGGAAACAGTAAGAAGCATAAAAATCTCCTGAAGGCATCTCTAAAGTCCTAGAGCAGTTAAAGTCTATGACTTTTTCCTTAGCAGATACGATGTTTGTTTCTGTTTGTTGATAGCATTCTTTTTATTCATAGATTACAAAACATATCTGTATATATATATATATATATATATATATATATTCATATGTATATATAAAAATGTATATATATGTGGATTATTTTTTGCATAAAGGGTTGAAATTTTGAGTCAATAGTACACACACACACACACACACGCACACACACACACACACACAGATACCCCTTCAAGAAAAATCAATCTGAGACAGGTATTTCAAGAGAAATGTAAAATGAAACAAAAATGGATTCCCAAGCTTTTTTAGGCTGCAAGTGCTCATTTAGATGAATGCCTTCAGCTCTGTGATATTTCCAAATATGCCAATAACAAGCAAAACTATCTCAGATACTATTCCTAATAATTTTTATAGATCTGGGAAAAATGTTTTAAAATATCGATATATCTTTTTTAAGAATTTTAACTGCTAGAAATGTTTAGCTACTGAATGGAAAATATCGATAGAATTACAGTTTTAATGAATTTTGATCACGATAAAGTTCCTTTTAATATTTAATATATTCTCTGGTTCAAAACTGGTCAGTTAGATTTTGCTTTGCTGGGGTGGATTTTCAACTCTCAGAAAGTTGTTGATCTTTCTGAGCCGCTTAAAAGAGCCGCTTAAAAGAAAGGTCTCCTTAGAAAGCAAAAGAAATTCTTTGCAAGCTACAAAATCACTGGGTTTCATCCTAATACTGATTTTCAACCAACATACACATGGAAATGTTGTCTTTTGATGCAGACCTCTAATGCCTGAGGAATGCAAAGCCACGGTACAACCTGCGCAGACACTGACTTCAGAGTGTTCCCGGCTCTGTCGGAACGGCTACTGTACCCCAACGGGCAAGTGCTGCTGCACCCCAGGATGGGAAGGGGACTTCTGCAGAATTGGTGAGTGTTTCTGCTGTCCCCAGGAAAGACCGGGCATTGGACAGTCCTTGGGAACTCAAGAACCTAACATCAGCTATTTCTTCTAGAATGATCAATGGTTCAAAACTTATCCATTTATCATAATAACGCTTAGTCTGTTTCTGAACTTGCAAATGAAATCTTTCCCGTGTTCCTATTGTAAACAATTCACTTTAAGTTAATCGTAAACGTAAAAGACTTCTAAATAATTGAGTCCTTTCAAAAGGTACAGAATGAACACAGCACAACTCAATCATCTGTACAGGCTCTCAGTCCTAGGTTTGAGATTTCACACCAGCCAATGACCTAGTGTTTGCAAAGCCCCTCTCCAAGTGCCAGCATTTTCCAGACACCCCATAAATGCCCTCCCTAACTTTACTGCTTGCTTTCTTGCTACAGTGCACTAAAAACAGGGTTTTTCAGTGGGTGTTATTAAATAAAAGGGGAAAACGCAATTATCTAGAGGCACATTATGAGATTTTTTAATTCTTTTTCCCACTCCCTTGTGACCCATCAACTAGGTGTGCAGCTGCTCAAAGACAGCCAAAGAGATTTATCCCAGGGTTACTCTATCCTTTAACCAGGGATTTCCTCAATTACATGCAACGATGTTTAAATTCTGCTTGATGTGAAGAAAATTAGATAAATTCAGACACCTAGTTTAAGATGTATATGTTGAAAGTGCATTTTCAGGAGAAATTTTCTTTTATTTTATCTATGAGATGATGGGTGTTAGCTGAATCTGTTGTGGGAATCATTTCACAGTATATGTAAACCAAACCATCATGCTGTGTACCTGAAACTTACACAGCAATGCCTACCATTTATTTCTCAGTAAAACTGGAAAAAGTTTCCCATAAGGATAAGTGCCTTTTTAAATGCATATGCATTTTCTTACAAAAGAACTTGATCTCTGCTATCTCAGATGTTTAAGTATCTCTTGCCAATGAAAATGTGTTCAAATTCATATTTTATATTATCTTTAATGCCTAAATGTTGTCTTTTCTTTATTCTAAACATACGCTTGTTTCAAAAATTATAACCACAACTTGTCTATATATTATCTAACAAAATGTAGCCAACATTTAAAGTCACACATACAGTATACATTTTAAGCTTAAATTGCTTCAGCAGGGATAACCCTACCGGGTTGATTAATACTAGGGTTATATGTCTAGGAGAGAGCTATCATAATTAAAGCTCTAAGTAATTACATCAGTTAAAACAAATATTTATTTTTATTGACCCATTCTGTCTTTTTTTTCCATAGTTGACCCAAAAATGAGAATCACTGTTCAAATGCACAAATATTCTAATTCTTGATACTATATCTTTCTTCTGCTCCCTTTAATGCCTGACGATACCTATTCTCTCTGCTTCTTTTATACAGTGTTCATTCTGTTGTACTTCTTACTTTGTATTTTGCCTAACCTCTTAAGTCACCTCAAGTTAGCAGATAACAAAAATTTACTGAGTGCCTTCTGGTAATAGTATGTTTAACTAAGGGTAAGCAAATTATTTTGAATATAGGTGGCATTATACATACCATTATAGATAATAATAATAATAGGTGTTGTAGATGAAAACAGACATTCTTTGAAATAACATAAAGTTTGGTTTCAGTACTTTCATCTTTCTACTAGTTGGTTTAAATAGTTTGAATATATGATAAACTAGAACCATTTTATAAAAGTAATCTGTTCATGATGTTTTTGACCCAAGCAAGAGCTTTATTCATACACTAACATAGTTCATCTCCTACAAATTAAAAAAAAAAAAAATCTCTAATTATTCTCTTGCTTTTTCCTTTTCATTTGTCAGCCACGGACCCCTGGGTTTTTAACCCACTGAGCCACCCAGGCACCTCAGACCCCTGGGTTTTGATTAATGCATTTGAAAAGGTTAAAATAACCTTGTCCCCTAAAAGTATAAAGAAACATGTTCAAGGAATTCAATTCTGTCTACAGTTGCTGCACATCCCAGATTTAGCCATCAGTAAAACACAGTTAACATACACAACCAACTTCATCTCTGCATCTCATTTTAGCAGTAGATCTTTTTTTTTTTAAGAGAATTTATTTATTTATTTGTTTATTTATTTATTTATTTATTTTAGAGAGAGAGTGTGCAAGCGGGGTGTGGGGGGGCGGGGGCAGAGAGAAAGGGAGAATCTCCAGCAGCCTCCGTACCCAGCGTGGAGCCATGACCTGAGCCAAAACCAGGAGTCAGACATTTAGCTGACTGAGTCACTCAGGTGCAAAGTCTGCTGCATTTACCATTGTAGTGGTAAAAATCCTTATACGAAGAGATCCTGTGTATAGAGTAACCCTGAAAAGGATTGCTATGAATATCCTTGCCTGGCTGACCACACTGTCCCAAGCAGGGGCTAGAAAGTGTAATCGGAGATGAAGCCATAGAATGCGCTCCCCGGGAGCCAAGAGAAAGAAGAATCCAGGGCAGTCAATCCACATGGAAGAGATCCCATCTAACCTGAGAACTGACAGTTCCTTTATACTGCACCGAAGATGCTGAAGCCGCTAGGTCTCCTTTTCAGGCTTGGCCCTTCCCATTTTAAGATCCTGCCCCCGAGGCATGGGAACATAGAGTTACTTGGAAGGCCCTCCGTTGGAAATGCCCTAGTGGAACAGAGGTTTGAAAGAGCTGAAATCCTCGTTTTAAACAGAGTCAGTTCCACAAGGGATTGAAATTGTTTCCCATGATCTCTGCTTTCCTGGAAATGTCTTCCATTCTCTACTGACTTCTAGCCCCCGCATAACCTGCTTTCCTTCTTGTATTCATTATCTTTTGGATCATTCTGTACTGGCGACCTCCTCCTCTTCCTCCCTTCCCCTACTCATCAAATACTTGTTGGCCTCCTACTTGGTGCTGTTTCTGACATACAGAACGATAGTGTGATTTTATTGCTTGTTGGTTTTTTTTTCCCCCTCCCAGCAAAATGCGAGCCAGCATGTCGTCATGGAGGTGTCTGTGTTAGACCAAACAAGTGCCTCTGTAAAAAAGGATATCTTGGTCCTCAGTGTGAACAAGTGGACAGAAACTTCCGCCGAGTGACCCGGGCAGGTATTCTTGATCAGATCATTGACATGACATCTTATTTGCTGGATCTAACAAGTTACATTGTATAGTTTCTGGGACTGTTTGAATATTCCTTTCCAATGGGCATTTATTTTTTATCCTGTCATTAAAAAGAAAGACTGTTATCCCGCTACACACTTCCTGTGATTTCATTTTCTTTTATTAATTTAAAAATAATTTTCCAGAAATGGGCAGATCCTGTGTGTGTATGTTGGCACGTTTGTTCACCTAGGCGCACACACACACACACTCACAACCCCTATACGTGTGGTTGCCTAAGAGATGGGTTTTAAAAATATATGTTTCCTTGTGTGGAGTAATTTACACAGAAATTCCATTGTAAATTGATAACGGAATTTTTATGTCACCAGAGGAGATTATTTGACTTCCCAGGAATTTTCTGTCTGTAATAACTAAAGTCAACTTAATGGAGTTTTGAAACATGACTGTGCAATCTGATGGATCTAATAAAAAAAAGGCAATATTTTTATATTAAAGGATTATAATGTGAGAGAATGTTTCAGAACTCCCTGATGAATTTCCAAACAGGAGACTTGATATAAAATTGTAATCTTCATTTGTATCCGTGTATTCAGTTATAGAATGTTACTCACTTACCTTCTTATTGGCTGAGAAATCTGGTTACTCTAGTTTAATCTCAAGATTGTTTTCAAGTGTTTTATAATTAAATCATAACAGCACATTCTAAAATCAATCTTCCTAAAAGGTCTGCTTTTATTATATGTTGTATCTAACAATAGGCACTGGGTTTGTGTTACCTATTTATATTTTTTATTTTATTTTTATAATATAGACATCACCTAGATGAAACACCTTTGCCCTGTCCTGTAAAATACTAAAGTTACATTTTTCACCAACTTAATTGGAAAGAAGGGGAGTGAGCAAACAGTCTTTAATGTGCTGTGGATCTAATCTAGCCATGTATCCTTGTGCCAACATGTAATCATTAACGACGGATGAAAAAGCAAGAAAACAGCCAATCCTTATAAAATTCCAGCATTAAACTTATGTAAAGCGCTTTTCACCATAGCAAGACTGTCAGTGTATATGTGATTAGAATGTTGCAGATTTCCCACTGAACAAAACTCACTGGGGAAGAGCTCACTTGTTCTTAACAAATCTTGGCTATGTAAGCTGTCACTTGTACAAATTTTTTAAACAATAATTCTCTCCAAATATGAGTTTTAATGTATATGTTCCTTTAGAACTCGATGAAAATCCTCTTTGGTTAATGTATGAATAATTTTTTGTAAATGTTCTGTTCAGGTTTTTAAAGAGAGGCCATGTTCTAATTTAAAGCAGCGAAAGTCTGATAGACATTTTTCCTACTGGTTTTCGAGGCCAGCGCTCCACATTCAGATCATAACAAAATTATAAGGCCTCTTTGCACTACTGAGAAAACATCTCTCATGATGTGCACACCGGCTCTAAGTTGTCCTGTAAACATCTGTTCTTCCAGAATCTAAATTGTACGCTAGCGTAGATTATGCAGCACAGGCTGACTTTCCAAATCTGCTCCTTACCTATAGGAATGTGAGCCTCGATTAAAAAGAATAAAATCATGTAACTAGTATTTCTCTATTGTTTTAAGGTGAGAGATTTGCAATTAAAGCACACTGAGCATTTATGTAGAAAGGTTGTTTAAGTACACTGCTCTTGTCTTCCATATATGATTACTTAAGTTTCAAGTGACCTCATGCCGAATGGAAATGGGTTGAGAAACCTTGGTTCAGTGCTTAGTGAACAATAGCCTGCATTAAAAAGTGCATGCATAATTTTGCACAATTTAGATTCAATTGACAGTCTATTCAAAGAAGTCTCCGGATTAAATGAGCATGGAGACCAAATTGCCCTCTTACCCCAGGAAAGGGGTGGTCCCTTCTAGTCACACTAACACTTCATTGGCCCAAGAGTGTGACAAATCTTGCCCTGAACCTGCAGTAGCCTGCATCTGGAGGTTAATAGCAGTCTTTTGTCTCCCTTGCTTTCTCTTCATAGCCCTTTTACTGAATTCCATCACAGAAAGTTTTACAATTAAAAAAAAAAAAAAAAAATGTCCTGACAACCATTTTTGTAAATGGACCTTACCATCTAATCGTCCCTTATTCAGCGTGGGTGACATTAACAAAATGTGAACTTCTGGTAAGGGAGCCAGCTGTCTAAATCTGTCAAATCATGCGGTTTTATTACACATTCTCCTGTTCATAGTTGCACCGAAAACAATAAGGACACTGCTATAGATTGAGCAAAATCTGAAAAATCCAAGGTTTCTTCTTACACACTTAATCTTTCCAGCTCTTCAAAAGAATCTCTCCAAAAGAAAAGGTGTTATATTGCCATTAATCCTCCTGTTTAAAAATATCTATATAAAACTGACCAGGCGCAGACTTCTTACACAGTCCTTTCCCAAGTGAAAGAGTTTCCGATGTCTTAGAAAAACATATGTACCCCAGGTGTCACTGCCTTCTCTATTGTGAGTCATTATAATAAAAGACCAAAATCTTCTAAAAGAGGAGATAGCGAGATCCATGGATATTAAATCTGAGCAAAGAAGTGAAGTCATTGGAGTCATTTCTTTCTCTTCCTGGGAGAGACGTAAAGAGCAGTGGCTAATTGGCGGCTGCAAATCTGAAACTCTGTGATCATTTCAAAAACAATCTTTTGGCTTTTTTTTTTTTTTTTTCCAATAAGACTTTTAAACTATGTGACTGGAGAATTATCTTAAATGCTCTATGATAGGCAGGTAGGAATTGGATTCAAGCATGAGTTAGGGAAAAGTGATTGTTTTATCTTGCGAATGGCAACATCTACTTGTTTCTTAAAGCACACAATCAGAACGGAGAAAAATGTCCTTGGCATGAGTGTAGATTCATGTGAGATGTGAGATAAAAATAAAATAAAGAGATAGAAAAATGTATATGATTATCCCTTTGTCCATTCTGGAGTTTAAGCTTTGGGTGTTAATTTAATGTGAAGTGCTATTAGGGTAGTTATAAAGGTTTGGAGAAAAACTCTCTACCACCGCTCTTGCCAGACTCTTGTGCTGGTTCATAGAACCTTTTTTCTTACCAGTTAGTTAAGGTAATGAGAAGAGAACAGAATCGGCACATCATTAAATTGAAAAGAAGGGAAGAGTTAAAAAAACAAACAAACAAACAAAACCTTGTGTGTTAATAAAAAGTTCCATCCATACCTTTTCTTCTTAGAATTGTGGCTATTGTAAAATATTTTATCACAAAGATACTCAGAAGTCTTCTCAGATAATGGACTACATCATAAGGAACAGAGAAACCTACACATTCCAAAAATACAACCTAAATAGAAAACCATTCCCTTTTTCATTTTTATACTTCAGAGCAGGAAATCTCTATTGATTTCCTTGAAAATGATTACATACCGATTTATTAACAACTTTAACATGTTTCTTTTGATATTGCTTTTATCTCTCCATCGTAAACTGTATAACAAGCTTACCAGGTGAAAGACACAAGGTTAGATGCTGTATCTAGGGTCTTTTAAAGTATCATTAACTTAAACTTAATTATTACTCTAACATTCTTAACTTTGAAACAGAAAAGAGAAGTCAAACCCAAAATTTTAAGTGGAAAATAAGGTATACCACAGGCAGATGTAGTTGGCTGATCGATAAATTACAGTTCTGACATCTCGAAAAAGTGTACCTATAGTATTTTTCTCTACCCCCACCCATGCCTCTCTCTCTCTCTTCTCCCACCCACCTCCTATGTGTTCTTCTTCCGTTAACCTCTTCCTTCCCTCTCATTTCTATTGGATTTGACCGAACAGATATGTCGTCAGTGCACCCATAATGAAGATGTCCTGGGGTAGGTTGCTATTGATTTTCCTGCCTATGACTTTTTTTTATTTTCCTAAAAAAATACCCTCTCCCACTGTCACATTTGCTCAGACACTGTATCATGAACAGTAGACAAATATGAATATACTAGATTGATCTATTACAGTTACGGAGAGAAATAACCAAACGCCTAAATGACTACCAGCCTGGATGCTCCAGTTCACCTTGTTTCCGTCATTCACAAACGGGAAAACACAAATATCCCAGGCAAGAGCTTGAGCTAACAGTAGGAGAAGTTAGTAGCTATTTCCTATTCAGGCATGACCATCTCTACAGAGTCTGTTTTGCGAAGGATTATTCCAGATCTCTTCTTTGCCCACCTCTGGGATGAGACTTGAACTGGCAGAGAAATCAGACCAAAGTCTCATGCCCCAAAAACGTACATATTTCTGTGTCACCCGTAGGAAATTAGTGGACCCCTTATTATGAATGCTGGCAATACTTTCAGGAAGTTCCTCTTTAGAATATCCTGAAGAAATGTTTACTATCTTACATTCTTTCTCTTCATCACACTAACCCAAATTAGTCATGCCTCCAGTAATTAACGAAGTCAAAGAAGGTAGAAACCTAAGAACAGAAGCATTTCGATATTAAAAATACTAAAAACATGACCACAAGATCTGCCAAACACTAATCCTAGACAACTTCAACACTTTGTTCTCTCAAATATCTTCTCGTAAGTTTTGGAAATTGCTTTAAAATAGCTGTATAGGAGAGTAAGCTGTATTCAAGAGAGCATGAGGGTTGTCGTGCTGTATTGTTCTCAATCACAGCAGTAGTTTCCCTAGCTGTCATTAAGAGATGTATTCCTTTATCAAATCAGCACTTTCTTAAAATCTCCAGTTATATATGAGCCCAAGGGACACCCATCACTTACCTTGCTTTCTTTTGTGAAGGTCATATATAAGTAGGTTGCAAAAATAAAAAATAAATAATGGATTGCTCGCATTAACATAAAGCCTTAGGCCTAAAATTTGTTACTGCTTTTTTATTTCCTAGCAAGACTACACACTGACTTACCAAAAAAAAAAAAAAAAAGATAACAATTCAATGTGAATTCTAAAGTTACATGCCATTATATATCACAAAGTCAGACATCAGGTTTCAGTTGGAATATTTTTTTGCATGCATATTACTTAAAATCAAAATACATGTATACATATACATGCAAATTAACAATTGTTTGTTACCTCAATTGACTATAATATTTTAAGTTAAAAAAGCACATTTTAGCACATAGGATTGAAAAAGCAGAACATCAACAGTGATGGGAAATTCATAAGGGATAATTTAAAATAAGCTTTTCTTCACAGCTAGAGGCTAATTGCTGTACATTTCCTTTTACACTAAAAAACAACTAGCCAATAGTTTCCATTCACACAAATAATGTGTTGTCAGGTTTGGTGTATCCTTTGTCTAATAAGTATGTTGGATCTCTCTTTACCTCATTCTTAAAATCTGAGACATGTCTTTCCTAGAATAAATGAAGATTTCATGTATAGTAGAACCTAATACTACTAATACATTCTTTCCATAGCACTGTTGAGAAATTGAATTGACAGCCTTATGGGAAGTCAAGTATTTTCCATCTCTCATATTCACAGGACATTTTTGCACCAAGAACCATGTAGTAGCAAGGTAAATGATAAAAATGTACTATGGAATTTGGGGGGCTTGATTCCCTAGAACATGTTAAAGAAGACTATTAATTTGAAAGAAACCCTTCTAATTCAAGTGAAAAAATTATCAAATTATTACCATCAATAAGCATAAAAGAAATCTGCAAAGAAACTCCTGTGTCTTTCCTGGCTTTACCTGGGATTAACTTTGTCCAGTTTTAAAGAATAGTTAACTTTATCATTCTTCCAACATGTTTTAGTTTTCCCAGCTGTTTATTTTCCTCTGGGTTGTGGACAAATGGGACAATTTGTCCATGACCTTATTCACAGAAGATACCAGAACAAACCCTTGTTTGAACTTCTGTTAAGAGGTAGAAAGCTGTAGGAACCAGTCGTGAAAGCAGGTACATGTTTGAGGGAGCACAGTTAACACACGTATTAGCTGGGATTTCTATAAATGTTCATCTGAAGAGAAACAACCAAAACCATGGACTCAAATAATCCTTCTAAATTTGATTTAATCTGATTTATTTAACCCAGTTATTATAACATGTGGTTTTCTTGGATCAATCCTCTGTTATTTAGCTATCCTTCCATTTATTAATTCCACAAATATTTATTGAAGTGCCTAGCATGGTTATGTGCTACAGAAAAGGCAAGGACGTTTACTGTGGGGGATTGTGAACCCAGTGGGTATGATGAACTTGTTTGAAGCAAAAGACAATAATCAAACCCAACCAGCTCCAATTCAGCTCAACTTTAGAATCCAGCAAGAATAGTAAAGATGGCCTGAAGTACATCTGTGTGTATCTGTACGTGTACACACACCCATGTATATATATTTATCTATCTGTACAAACACTACATATGTATACACACTATCTATGTAATATATAATATATGTATAATGCATATAAATTCTAACAAGTGTATTTGTGTTATCTTTAAAATAGAACAATTGTATCTTGAAGTGGTAAATGCAGAGAATTGGTTTTTATTGTTGATCTGTGGATTTAATGATTTTTAGGTGAAAAGGATGTTTAAGTGTACAATTTCTTTTCTTAATTTAATATATTTATGTAAATGCATGCCTGAAAATTGGTTAGATTGGCTGTGTTTGTGTCCTTTAACATGATCAAATGTATTAAACTTTATCTTAAGACCTGATGTACATGTGCTATTCTAAAATTCTTTTTTTAGTATTTAAAAGTTTTTCCTAAATACTCATACTGATGATATAAATGCTTATTTTTAAATATTCTGTACCCAAACTACTTCCTCAAAATATCCTTGCCTTTTGCCATTTTTCATGTTCTAATTTTAAAATTTCATTCCCCAAAGTATATGCCAACATTAAGGATCGGTTATTGCATATATATATCCTGGAAGGCCATAGGATGTTATGGTGATTTAAATGTATCCTATGTTGTAAATGACTTAAATCTGATCCTTTTAGTCCAGTTAGACTCACTAAGGGAAAATGTACAAGAGCACCTGAAAGTGCTGAGTGCCCACATTGAAACGAAGAAGCATGTAGAAAGGGTGGGACATGAGAAAAGGTGATTGCAGATACCCCCAAAACTTTGTTGACCTTGCCATGTTGCTTTCAGTGGACCTTAGCAAGAGTCTTTGTATATGGTCAGATATGCTGTTTTGTGAACATAAATTTTAAATATGCCAATATTCTTTAGAAGAGCAAAATGATTTCATCTGGGTCTCCTTTCTTCCTGAATAAATACATCTCTTTGACCCATTGAGAGGAAAAGCTCTTTCTCCATAAGACATTTTTTTTAAGAGAATAAACAGTGTTATAAGGTACTTATTCAAAGATACTCCCTGAGGGTCCGATTAGTCTCTAAAAGTTTTAAGTTACGTAAAAATCACCCCATGAAAAGTATTCTTTAGTTCATTTTGCAGTGAACTGGGAGGCCCCGAGTTCTCTCTTCCTCAGGCACTGCCCTTCTGGTTCTTAGCATGTGTCCCCACCACTTAGCCCTCACTCACCCTGTGTTTCCTGTCCATGGCTGTCCTTCCCAACCAGATTAGAAGTCTCCTGAGAATATCTTCTACTCTCATAATCCCAGCTCCTGCATAATTGCCATAAGGAAAATAATAATCATACATAGGTAACAGCCTAGAGACTCGAGTGTTTCTTGCTGTTGCTAATTTCTCTGGGTTCCTTCCCTTTCCCTTGAATGGCTTCTGAACTCTGCCATCACCAAGGTAATCAATAACCCCTGCATTAAATTCCCTTTGTTGTGAATACTTGAAATGGTTTCTGTCTTCCTTTTTTAGAACCTGATACATGTGTTCATAGGAGTGCTTCAGACACAGATGAGGAGAGATAACATAGTGGAATTACACAACGACATGATGAGATCTCCTGTAGGAGAACACATTCAGAAATCATTGCCTTGAATCCCAATGTGATCACAGGAAGATGTAATCAGAGAAATCCTTCCTCTAAACCTGATACAAATCCTTAAATTATTCAAGCAGCTACCAATGGAAAAGGCCATTACTCTCACAGTTGTCATTAAGAATTGTCATACTTAAAAAAAAAAAAAAAGAATTGTCATACTTCACATATGTACTTGAGCTTCTAAAAAAGGGGGGAGGGTGAGACGAAACAAAACAAGTAACTATCAGCTTCAAGTTTTGTCCAGGAGTCTACTAACATAAGAGATAGTTCCTTGAACTTACTTCTTTTCACTCTTTTTTTTTTTTTTTTAAGATTTTTGTAGACTTATGTACCATTTCCAAATGAAGTACAACTTAAAATAGCAGCTACACTTAGTATCTCATCAGAAAAAAACCTGTTTTTCCTATTTGGAGTCCCAAACAATTCTCTCTAGATATTAAATCCTACCATAATTTGAAGAAATTAGAAGATAAAAGGAAGAAAAACAACTTGGATGAAGTATTTCTTTTGCATTTCCATAATCTGATTTATGTTTGATTTCTATGCAATATTTTCAATGCTTAAAAAAAACAGAATTTAAAAAAGGAAAAGAGGGGGCAGGAAGAGGAAGGGAGAGGCCTGGGTAACTCCTGCCTATGAAATTCATTCTTCTTGGGAACATGCCCACATCAGAAACTACTTGAACTCACTCTTGTAATTTAATAAGATGTTGTCAGATGCTTTTGACATATTTATAGCCTTATAATTAAAACTACTTGATGCAAAATCCATGTGCTTGATGTAAAGCAATTTATATTATCATAGACACTGTGTTCTATGATCTATAGCTACTAAAAATCATACATGCCAGGTGGATTGGCAGCAACCCTGGCTAGGGATGTGAGATGTGGATCCTGGGCTGTGTCTCTAATTATTTAGACAGGTAACACTGCATAAGTCTCTCACTGCACCATGACTCAGTTTCTTTATGCATAAAATGAGAGACTTAGGTTCCATCCGGCTCTAACAGGTATTGCTACTAGATATTATTAAACCCAGGATTCATGTAGATTGCAGATCTGAAATTGGCAAATCTTAGAAGTCTGTTAACTACCCCATTTCATTAATTTCATTAACTAAAAAAGACACTCTTACTCATTTTCTTCTAGTCTCTCAGCCTCTTCCCCTACCTTCTGTGGGTCTTTGTTGTTTTCTCTGATGTATTCTTGGAATAAAAGTACTTGGTTCATTTTTTAGTCCTTTCATGCTTCCCACAGCTCTCTCTCTAAATTCCTACCACACTATCTAATCTCTGGCCATCATTTGCTTTGTGTACAAGAAGTACACTGTTACAGGGAGGTTACCATTCCCTCCAGGATCCTTATTGTCTAATTTTGCTGTCAGAATCTGTCAGAAACATTATTCCCTCTTCACGAACTGTATTCTCAAGAAGACTGCTATAGGCACCCTACCTGACAGATAGATACCATATTCTAGTGAGAGGCAGGGCATAAGTGCCTAATAGAGATCATCTAAAAAGTGAACAATTCATGATACAGAAGTGTCAGCCTTAAGAATAAAATAGCCAGTTACTTAACTAGTAAAAATTAGTTTATTTGAGAATAGCAGAGGAAATACAATTTGGGACATGCAAAATATGATGAACAAAGACAAGTCCAAAGAACAAAGGAGTGGGGCTTATGGGAAAGAAGGGAGTAGGGAGGGATTGTTTTGAACAAAAGTCCATTGGAGGACAGAAGAATTCGGGGTTATGGTGGCTTCTCATTGGCTGAGTTGTTGCTAGGCCAGAAGAAAATCTTCCTTCTTTCTGCTGGAGTATGTAAAGTAAGTTTCTTCTTGCTGGGGAATATAAAGTAAGCTGTAATAAATGGTACATGAGTGAGAACTCTCTTCCTTGCTTCCTGACTTGCCTTTGAATTAGGTTTCCTTTATTTTCACATTTGCTCCTTTGGATCTAGGTCTTCCCTCAAATGCATCAGTGCTCAAGTATCTTGTTCTTTATTTATTAAATGTCTTTGTCTGTCTATGTATTTTGGTGCCAGGAAGGACCTTTCCTGAGAGTTATGTCCCACACTACAGAGAAAGCAGGTGGAGATGGAAACCATAGAAGCCACATTTGAACAACAATGAAGGTAGAAGGAGGGGCTCTTAGGTATTTTCCACTCTTAAATTCATATCTTGTCTAGACTGTAAGCACTGGAAATCATCTCAAAACACTGAGATAACATCATTCTATTTTTAGTGTATCACTTCTGCAGAGATTTGACAGGCAACAGGTACAAAGTTTAAAAGTAATTATGCAAAACAGAATTAAAAGTAACATGACAGGGGTGCCTGGATGGCTCAGTGGGTTAAGCCTCTGCCTTTGGCTCAGGTCATGATCTCAGGGTCTGGGGATCGAGCCCCACATCAGGCTCTCTGCTTGGCGGGGAGCCTGCTTCCCTCTCTCTCTACCTGCTGCTCTGCCTGCTTGTGATCTCTGTCTGTCAAATAAATAAATAAAATCTTTAAAAAAAAAAGTAACATGACAAATCAAAGTTATATGATGGCTCTACACCATGACTATAAGACCTGAAAGTAGCCAACTGAACAAACCAAAGAATCATGGAGAGTTGGGTGAAATCTATTGTTATCAGTGCCCTTGTTCCCTGATCCCATATAATTGTGTTTCTACCACTACTGGCATTTATTCAGATATAACAAGTGGTATTAGCTATTGCACAAATGCCTCTTTCTTCAGCAAATAGGTAATCAAGGGCTATAAGATTGTCCAAAACTACCTTAGCCAATGAGTCAAGTGATCATTGTTGAGTATGTTACTGCTTTGGTTGTGAAATTGGCTGGCTCCCTTAACGTTGGGGAGAGGTTTTTAATCATACATGTTCATTGGCACTTACTCTGACCCAAGGGAGGAAGGCTGTCCCAACTGGGGCAAACCCAGAGTTATGTGTGACTCCTGGAAGTTTCTGTTTAAGATGGCCATAGAAGCTTAATGGGGTGGATCAATGGGAGGACCATGGGAGGTTTCTGAGTTGTTACAGATATTAGCAGATATTATTAGGACAGTTAAATGTCCTAATAAACATTGATCTCCAATTCACCAGCTATCTAAACATTCATATGCCCATGAAAATGCTATCTACCACATACCAAAATGAAGCCAGGTAGAGCGCAGATGACCCAGCTAAGGTCTGGTCATTGAAAGATCCATTAGCTGAAATATCCTGATCGACCTTCTAAGCAAGGGGTCAGAGGAATTGGGATGACATTCCGTGAGGTACAATCCACTCCTAAAGAGATCTTTTTAAAAAACCCTTGTAAAAAGGAGTTAGGCCTTTGCACGGGTGCAGGGGGATAGATCATATTTAAATAAGGAAAACAACATGGGGAACCAAATATCCTACAGTTTTCAAAAGTGGAGGTGTTTAGTGAGCTAGACAGTAATGACTAGGGAGAGGTTGAAACAAGGTATGGGAACACCTATAGCTGTAATATCCTAAGGCAACAGTTAACACTCGTAGTCTTGCAGGTATAATTGACGATGGCAAGAGAGTTAAAGAGAGATTGTTATAGGTAAGACCAAGAGGACACTGACATCATGAACAGACTGGAGTCTCTGGTGACAGATCCAGCAGCCAGAAAGTCCTTCCCCCTACCCCGTTTTTTCTCTCTCTCTTTTTTTAAGCAGGCTCCACACCCAGCATGGAGCCCAACATGAGGCTTGAACTCACAACCCTGAGATCAAGACCTGAGTTGAGATCGAGAGTCAGACACCCAATCAACTGAGCCATCCAGGTGCCCCAAGGCTTTCCTCTTTTGTGATAGACTGGGAAATGTGAATAAAAGCATTGTCTTAAAGAAAGAGAAAATAAGGTCAGAAGCAACAGCAAGGAAAAGGTATAGAGGTCTGGAAAGAAAAAAAAAGCTAAATTAAAAAAAAAAAAGGTACACAAGTTTGGTTCAGTCACCTTGGGAAAGCGGTCTGCCTCAGCTGTCATCTGCTTCAATTCCTGGTAAGGTCCCTTTCAGTGAGGTTGGAGGGAGTCTTTCTGCAGGTATCTTTTCCAGTGATGAAATCTTCAGGCTGTAGATTTTGATGTCTGATGTTTTTGTCTCCTGGAAGTGTACTTTGGAAAGACTGCTTTACTGAAGTATGGTTATTTTCAACAGAAACAATTGGTCTTTACGATATTAAAACTATACCTTTTTATCAGTTGTGGATTCAAGTAGGGTCCATTGGGCACCCTGTGGTTATCTCAAAAGAGGAGAGCTTAGGGATCGGAGTTCCAGAAGAAGTAGATCTGAGATTCAGAAGAACCAATGGTGGTGCTTTAAAAGCTAGGGTATTTGAAGGGTTTCTATAGATTTGTGAATGACGTCTTAATCATGCCCTTGGCACGTTAGTACTGAAGGCTGAAGGTGGTGAGCACAGTGAAAATGCTGTACAACTGGCCAAACAACACAAACTTGCTGAAGTACCTGGCCGGTAGAGTGGGTTCCCCAGTCACTGTGAAGTTCAAAAGCTGGGGGTGGTTCTCCACATGGGAATGAACCTTTCTAATAGAATTTTAGCCATGGAAAAGGCAGCTGCCCATCTGCAAGAACAGGTTCTTATCAGACTGATGCAAATAGTTATATTACCATGAAAGTAAGAGTAGTCATTGAGTTTCTGAATTCTTGAGGTATCCGATAGCTATGAATTGTGTAGGACTGATGATTCACAGACCTGTACCCCTGAAGCAAATAATATATTATATGTTAAAATTTTTTAAAAAGTGCCAATGGTGGGAAAAAGTCATTGTTTCATATAGGCGCACAAAGATATATTTTACCAAACTGCCATAAATCACAGAGAGTTTGAGAAAAGTTTCCTTAAATTCAATTCAGTGGTCTGAAGTTATCAGAGAACTGTATTCTAAAGAACTTGTCAGGGTCCTTTCTAAGAATTTCTCTGAAAATGAAACACATTTTTTGTTGTTGTTGTTTTTTAAGATTTATTTTATTTTAGAGAGAGAGAGAAAAAGAGAGTGTGAGGGGAGGGGAAGAGGGAGAGAATCCTCAAGCAGACTCCCCACTTAACTCAGAGTGGACCTGGGGCTCGATCCCACAACGCATAAGATCATGACCTGAGCGGAAACCAAGAGTCAGACTCTCAACGAACTGAGCCACTCAAGCACACCAAAATGAAATACATTTGTGAAGCATCGATAAAATAGTAACAGCCTATAAATGGTGAAAGACATTCTTTTCTTATTTTTGTAACACACATTTTAAAGTTATGACTGATAACATTATTTTAGGACATGCTGAGAATTTTAGAAATTGTATATAATTTCGGGGACACTTACATTAACAGACGCCTATAAAAACATAAGGTAAAGAAAGTTCAGCGTTACTTCTTATTTGACAATTTTCCCATATAATTAAACATATCAAATAAGCCTAATTAGTTTAACATCTCCCTTTTTATAAGGAAAGAGGATGAATCCTTTGAGATTCCAGGGGTCCTCTGAAAAAAACCTAAGTTAGTTCACAGTCTAAAAGACTTGGGATTTGGTTTGGGGAAGTTTAGGAAAACTATCAAAATGTGTTGCACAACTGTGCAAAGTAGGATCACAGAAAATTATAAAATAATATTTTATTATTCATTTAACCCAAGTGCACAAAAGATTTCAAAGACAAATGTAGAAGGTGACGTGACTGCAAAAAGACTTAGTTCTTTTTAATTTAAGTGTAATTAAGATACAGTGCTATAGTAGTTTCAGGTGTACAATATAGTGATTCAGCAACTCTGTGCGTTACTCAGGCTCATCACAAGAAGTGTGTTCTTCATCCCCTTCACCTCTTCACCCATCTCTCTACTCCCACCATCTACTCTCTGGCAAACACCAGTTCATTTTCTGTATTTAAGAATCTGGTGGGGGATTGTTTGTTTGCTCTTTTAATAGAGAAAATATAGCTTTTCCAAGTAATCAATGACCTGATAAAGACAAAACATAGAATCTCTGTTTGCTAGATAAATTATATTAATGGTAAATAAACTTTGCTTACACTTTCTTATTAAGAGCAGACAAATGAAAAAAAAAAAAAAAAAAGAGCAGACAAATGATTCAGAAAATGTCCTTTTAACAGAGAAAAAAATATAATTTTGCATGAGTGTATTTTGACATTAAAACTAATTTTTAAATAAATTCATTTTAATCTTAGCCAGCTTGACACGTTAAAATTCCTTTTCAAAGATTTCTTTTCCACAAACTTTCTACAACTTACTATTCTCTTACTGACAATACGCACCCTACTTTCCTTGCCTCCTCCTCTTATACAGTCATTTTTTTCCCTCCTTATTGTTCCTATGAATTGACTTTTACATATATTAATTAGAATTATTAATTTTTAGAATCCTTAATTACTAGTGAAAACTAAGAAGTAAGCAATTGTGGGCCAACAGATTTACAAATATATTTTATGATATCTAGAAGCATATGCCCTTTAGAAAAGTACAATCTTTCAATGTGGCACAAGACATGGTTAACTCACAGTCCTGAATTTATCATTAGTTTCTCTGCAACAGGAAGCCAAAAGTAGATAAACCTCTGTTCAGTGATTAATGTTTTAGTGTTTTATCTTCCTTGGAAAATGATCCAGATATTTAATGAAATTTCCATGTTTAATTTAACTTAGCAAAACCTGACAGTTTTAAGTTACCAAAAAGATTTGTGGAAGCTACTTTTTCAAGTACACATACCATAAAACATAATTATGGCATCTAAAAAGTCTTATCCCATTTTTATCTATCTTAATCCTTTCTTCCCAACAATTATGTTTACATTACTCACAGAAACTTTATGAGACATTAGGCAAAGTTAGTCATCATCTCAAGTGGATTTTCTTGCTAACAAGTTTTGTAACAGAGAGACATGAATTTATTTGACTAATAAACCCAGGTGGAATCAGTTATTTATCGGCATTGTATTTAATGCTGATAACTCTGAAGACATGCCTATTTATATTAAACCAACAACTTAAAGGAACTTTTATTTATCAAAGATTATCTCTGATCATGTGAACTTGAAAAATATTTGGAGTTGTTTATTTAATTTACATAAGCACTTATATTTCTTTAAGCCAATCAAAGAGAACTCTTCACAAATTAATATCGCCAATATGATCCACAGGTAGAAAAATATCACATACCTATAACATACATAACATACAAATAAGCACAGAGATCTTGTATCTTTTGTTTAAAAAATTTTAGCCAGATAGAGAAATAGAAGATGGCGGAGAAGTAGCACGCTGCGATGACATCAGGTAGCAGGAGATCAGCTAGATAGCTTATCTAACCATTGCAAACACCTACAAATCCAACGGGAAATTGAAGAGAAGAAGGGCAACAATTCTAGAAACAGAAAATCGATCACTTTCTGAAAGATAGGACCTGCAGAGAAGTGAACCCAAAGTGATGGGAAGATAGACCGCGGGGGGAGGGGCCGGCTCCTGGCAAGCGGCAGAGCAACGGAGCATAAAATCAGGACTTTTAAAAGTCTGCTCCACTGTGCGACATCACTCCAGAGGCTAAACGGGGGGGAAGCCAATGCGGGGTCAGTGTAACCCCAGGTCCCACGGGGTCACAGAAGGACCGGGGGTGTCTGAGTGTCGCAGAGCTCGCAGGTATTAGAGCAGGGAAGCCGGCTACAGCAACGGAGCTGGGGAGTGAGCTCTCAACTCGGGCTTACCTTGAACTGGTCGCAAGCTGGGTGAGCTCGGAGCGCGGCCAGAGGCCACGGAGACAGAAGCGACTGGGCGCTTTTCTCCAAGTGAGAGCGATTGAGCGCTTTCCTCCAAGCACAACCAGAGGCCAGGGAGACGGGGCGGTTGGGCGCTTTTCTCTGAGGGCCCACTAAGGAGCAGGACTCCGAGCTCTCGGCTCCTCCAGGCTGGGACTGGGAGGCCGCCATTTTCATTCCCATCCTCCAGAACTCTACGGAAAGCACTCAGGGAACAAAAGCTCCCAAAAGCAAACTCGAGGGGATTACTTAGCCCGGCCCCTGGTAAAGGCGGTGCAATTCCGCCTGGGGCAAAGTGAGAATCACTACAACAGGCCCCTCCCCCAGAAGATCAATAAGAAACCCAGCCAAGACCAACTTCACTCATCAAGGAGAATAGCGGAATTCCAGAGGAGGAGAAAGCAAATCTTTTTTTTTTTTTTTTTTTTTTTTAAAGATTTTATTTATTCATTTGACAGAGAGAGATCACAAGTAGGCAGAGAGGCAGGGAGAGAGGAAGAAGCAGGCTCCCCACCGAGCAGAGAGCCCGATACGGGGCTCGATCCCAGGACCCTGAGATCATGACCTGAGCCAAAGGCAGCGGCTCAACCCGCTGAGCCACCCAGGCGCCCCGGAGAAAGCAAATCTTATCTGGACAGAATGACAAGGCAGAAAAACTCACCGCAAAAAAAAAGAACAAGAGGCAGTACCAAAGGCTGGGGACCTAATCAATACAGACATTGGTAATATGTCAGATCTAGAGTTCAGAATGACAATTCTCAAGGTTCTAGCCGGGCTCGAAAAAGGCATAGAAGATATTAGAGAAACCCTCTCCGGAGAGATAAAAACCCTTTCTGGAGAAATAAAAGAACTAAAAACTAACCAAGTTGAAATCAAAAAAGCTATTAATGAGGTGTAATAAAAAATGGGAGCTCTTACTGCTAGGATAAATGAGGCAGAAGAAAGAATTAGTGACATAGAAGACCAAATGACAGAGAATAAAGAAGCTGAGCAAAAGAGAGACAAATAAATACTGGACCACGAGGAGAGAATTCGAGAGATAAGAGACACCATAAGATGACACAACATTAGAATAATTGGGATTCCAGAAGAAGAAGAAAGAGAGAGGGGAGCAGAAGATATATTGGAGAGAATTATTGGAGAGAATTTCCCTAATATGGCAAAGGGAACAAACATCAAAATCCAGGAGATGCTAAAAACACCCCTCAAAATCAATAAAAATAGGTCCACACCTCGTCACCTGATAGTAAAATTTACAAGTCTTAGCGACAAAGAGAAAATCCTGAAAGCAGCCTGGGAAAAGAAGTCTGTAACATACAAGGGTAAAAA